AAATATTATTAACATATGACAATGGTACAAGCATATATTCTGTGATATAAAAGTTCAAAAAACATTTATTTCAAACATGAGTTAAGTCGTTGTATTTAGATCATTATAGTAGTTCGTCTTGTTCAACTTGTGTTTGTTTCTTGGTTTATGATTAAAGTTTTACTTCTTTTCGTCTGTTTGATTTTTTTTACTTGTGTCCGGAAGTAGGACCGACCACTATGACGTGCTTACATTACAGATGCAAGTGGCACATGATGTGACGTTGTGGCGCCATGTGTCACTGTCCCTGTATACGATACCGTTGTATCTACAGTTGTGACGAGGGTTGTGTGCTGTTATTGGATTGCCAAACTCATCAACAAAAACATCTGGTATCTGGTCATTAAACACCTGCCAGCAATTATTTGGAATGGTTAACTGCAATAATCAATAAAACAAAACCGACTGTTAATTAATCAATCAATTAATCCTTCTTAAATATTTCTTATAATATTATTTATTCCCGGTTTAACAAAAAGACAAACAAAAAAGAAACAAAAACAAAACAAAAACAAGAAACACACACAAAAATCAAAGGCCAAAAAACATGTAAACATATTCAAACACCCAAACTCTAATTCAATAAAACTAGGGAAAATATGAACGATGTCTCCTGAAAAAAGTACTAGGAGAATAAGACCAGGTGTTTCGGAAGAGTAAGCGTCCTCTGCTTCATCTACTACACGCCATATGATTTTTTGTCAATCCAAGTAAGTTTTGTCACGTTATTAAATGATAAGATGTATTATACAAAATTGGAACCACAAGTTATACTACTGAGCATCAAACACGCCCAGCTTCATATCGCACAAAGAAATAGAGTATTTCTCAAAATCACCACTTCACACTTGCATGCCTCGATATGATTGTTACTCCAATGACTTTAAAGAATTCTTACATTCGTCCGTATTTCTCCTTTTCTTTGTCCCTTGACCTCAATGTGAAGGAAGGATGTTCCTCTATTCAGACTCAGAAATACTTCTTCTGACATATCCGCAACTGTTCCTCGAGCCTGAAATAGAAGCAATTGTGAACAAAGTGACGGATACAGCAATTTAAAATATAAATGAAATCTAATTAAAACAGTGCCAGGGGTAATTTGTCTTAATGCCTACTGGCAAGAAATAACAAGAAACCTCTACTGAACACGGCTTTCTGTCCGAAAATGGTCTTTTATTATATTTGCATAAATCGCATATAAAGGAATAATAAAATTGATAACTATATTATAATTATTTAGGTAAAATATATAATTATAAATAAAATATGCCCTATGTTTTTCATTTCCCGTTTTTCAGATTTTGAGAATACCTTTAACTTGAATTTACATGACGACTGTATATTCATATTTCTATAATGATTTCTACTTAGGTCTTTATATTTTTTTTATATAAATCCCAACTTTCATTTAAGGGTGTTTACTTTATCTTTGTACATATTACACTGTCGCGTTTTTTTCCCAACAGATTACATGTTTGATATTTTGATTATCAAAACTACTGTCATGAAGTCGAGGGTAAAACATATAGCCACTTTGGTCATGCATGCTTTAACTGTGTATAACACATACATCTGAAGTACTAGAGACTGCAATATGTTAGCATATTCAATCCATCAAAAGATCTCGATTATTAACACATTCCTAGAATTAATACTCCGATGTAGGTAAATTCGCTGTATGTGCCCATTTCTATAGAACATGATATTTGTATATTTACAGTGTACGTCTATCAATAAGTAATTCATATAAAAAAAACCCGTTGAATTCATTTGTGTATTAAAGCTATCGTAAACAACATATGTTTAATATGAAGACGAATGACAGGAGATGATAACAGTACAGAATTACCTATGTTATGAATGTTTCTATAATGGTATAGTTATTTTCATATCATTTCCCAAGTACCTCAAATATCACCATAAAAAATAATTACATCCCAAGAATTGAAATCAGATTTGAAGGATGCTGGTTTCCTATTGCATTTTAAACATCAATGAAGCTGCTTAAGATATCTGTGTTACATAATCATGTTTTACTCGCGGTATGATTAACATCCATGCTGTGTTGATTGACGTTCTGTTGAACATCTTTAAAGTTAATCAATGCATTAAATGAAATCAGCTCGTCCTGATCCGGCATCGTACAGATCTCCATGAAATTGATATCAATTTCTTGACACAGATTACCTTTGAAGTGGAAAACTTACATTATCATTTTCTATTAACCAACTTCAAGTACTTTCATACATCTCTTTAAATTGGTGCCGATTTTTTGTTTCTATTTTCCCCTCCTAATTCCAATCCAAAGGATGTATATATCATATTATGGGGTCAAAACCTTATTATTTTGCAATCTTTGATGTCATTGACCATCATCTATTGTTTGGAAAATTTTTGTTTGCGTTTTGTTAGAAAGGGATATTCAACATATTATTAGATGGTCTAGTAAGTTGCTAGAACTTGTGCCCATTTGAATTATAAAACATACATGTTTGAATGAATATATTAAGGTTACGCATTTTGATTGCGCATGCTTTCATAGTCAAGTTTATATTAAATTAAAACCTAAATCTAATTACGTTTCTTTTCTCCTATGTTAATTATTAGGGAAGAAATATCAAAAGCCAATTTATAAAGTCCAAAGTGAACTACACGACGTTAAAAAAACCTGTAGGAAACACGAATATATTCCATGAAGATAATAGCACTAAATACATTATCAAATGTGATAGGTTTGAACTAAATAATTGTTTGTGAAATGTAATAACGTTTGTGATGACATGGCTTTAAATTTTACAGGAGACATACACAAAAGAAAGGTTTATTTCGATTACAAAGTAATGCCAAATAATGCATCATGCAGCTGTTTCGTCCTTTTAGTTCTCCTCTGTGATACTAATGACCTACGTTTTTTAAACTGTTGAGACTGATGGAAAACAAAATTAGTGGAAACAAATATTGCAAGGAAAAAAACAACACTTGTATACCTTTTAAACAATTAACTCTGTTTTAAATGATAATACAAAGGCCACACTGACCAATAGCCCCTTTTCAATACAAATTTAGACTTAATTCGATTTACTTGTAATATATGAAACTGTGTGAGCAAATTCATGTTTGAGACCTCATTTGTTGAATACGATGAGGGAAATGGTAGTGCATCATAGGGTTGTTTCGTCCTTCATTAGTGTTACTGAAATAGATTATAGAAAACGTACCTTGCCGTTGTGGAAGTCGGTGATAATTATTGTATAGATGGCATTAGTGCTGACTGTAGTATCATAGTCGCCGGTTATTAGTGCTGTGAGATCTTCATCCTGTCCTCGCCATCCCGACAGTACGATCTGGTAATGTAAGACACAGTCATCACCCACTGTAATCCATGTATGACCCGCAACGCCGGTAGGAGACGCGGTAGAGGACATCAGCATATTTGGAGGCTCTAAAAAGTATATAGACATATCTTGTTTTTAATACTATCGTCTATTTTGTTTCAACTGTAGACACACTTTTTGAATTTGCAGCTCTGTAAAAATATTAAGTTGTTTATGACGATTGAAATTAAATTTCACGGATTGCTCTTACCCGATTCCAGACCTTATCTTTATCGTCTCTTGAAAATAAATTCCAGTCGGGAGTTGAGGTTGGAGGGTTATTATACGGCGTACTAAACATCGGATGTTTATCAATATAAATTCACACATTATCTTTATATTTACATTTAGAAATGATTTATTGCAAGTGTTTGTTATAACTTCATCTGAGTTGTTTATAATCTCATCCTATGTAATATTGGTCGTTAAAATCACATCAGCATTACATTTCCAACTTACAGTTGCATAGACACTGCAAAATTCCATTCCCACCCTATTTATGTTTTAAAGCATGATATGTAATACAGAAATACTTTGAGTATATACATGTATATATGTATATACAATTTTATTTAAAAAGTAAAAAATATACAAAAAAGAGTATATTTTTGAACGTTTTCAACATTATTATTATACCACACACATGCCAGATTTAGAAGTGATGATGTAACATATAAATTGCTTACCCTGATATATATTAGCATGACTGAGGTAGTCCAGCCGCTCAATGCTCCCACGTAAAACACTAATCCTATTAGCGATTGTTGCTACATTGACATGCAGTTTCCCAGCTTGTAACAAGGCTATGTCTCTTGCTTTCAGCTTAGAAAGTTTTCCGGTAGCCTGAAGGATAGAATAATTGGAAAAAATATGTATGAGAAAAACCAATACACACTGAATATAAGTTGCATAACTATGTTTCATAAGAGATAGTGAAATTGATTATTATCATGTTTAACGAATGTAAATGCAAAAACACTTAGGAAAGGGTTACGTGTGAAATGGATAAATATGAAAATGAACAACCAGTACAACGGAAATTCGAGTTATCCAAGAAACAGAAAGCTGTGAAATAAACAATTAAGAAATATGCAACAATAAAATTGCGAAGCGCCGAACCACTGCCACTCTACACTGGCAAAACGTGAACATAATAAGTTGTGAGATTGAAATATAATCATTTTTCCTGTGTAAGTTGGAGGCACAAGACTAAAATTTTATTCTTAGGCGAAATACAAATATCGTAATAAATATACCGACAAGGAATGGAGCTACTAAGCATCTGATTTTAAGTATTAATATCTTCTTCATTAATTTTTTTTATTTAAATTCTGGGATAACCTGATTTAAATGCGTCACTTCCATAAAAAATAAAATATGACAATGGGTGCAGAAACTCCACCCCCCCCCCCTAAAAAAAGCAACAAGAACGAATATAAATGTCACTTACCATACCGTCATACGACGACCCATTTCTGACGTAGGTCCGAATAACCTCTCTTATTCGACTATTTCGAGATCCTGACTTCGATGGGGTATCGACACTAATACTTGTGACTATGTTTTGCATATTGTACAGTCTTATCTGTAACACAACGGTTTCAATAATGCATTTATTCAGCTTTCTTCTTACATCACATGTCTAACGATACCTTATTCACACCGAGGAAATTTGCAAATCATTATTTAGAATTATTTCTACATTCATCAAGTATTTTAAATCATACTTGAAATTTGAATTCTATTAAAGTATTCAGTTAGAGTTGTTTATTCCACGTCTGTGACACAATCTTTGAATAAATGAAAATTGTTTATAAACAAAAGTCTTTTCATATAATTAATTTTCATACCATTCAATTCTGTTTCTCTTTCCCAAAAGTGAAAACAATATCAATCTATATCTCAATCTTGCTCGTAATACATGAACTGATATTTGCATCTGCTGTCATTATAACATAACTGCAAGATGACGTTTCTTAATCAATCACTTATCAAGTAACATGACAATGAATTATGGCTGTTCGAACATTGACTTAGAAACATTTTTACATTACTGAATATGGAACGTAATTTGTTCTATAAAGTTCAACCTAAAGCCATTTCAAGGCAATTAATAAACGTTACAGATATCAAACTTTGGAATGTTTCTACAACGATATTTTCCATGTGCGTTTAGAGAATATTTCCCAACAATATGGTCTTTTCGATAAACCAGGAACGTTCTAATGACCATCAAGTAAAATCTTGATAAAAGGTCATGATTCATATCTAATCTCGGTTTTTATGTTAAAATAAATAAACCCACTAGATATCTGAGACTTAATAATAAAGATTTTTTATTGGGTATAAATCATTTTCTCTATCTATATTTTTATTGTAATAATCTTCAAAAAATGTCAAAATGTCTTAAACATCTCCTATATACTTCCACATATATGAAACGGTAATACTATAATACCAGCGAGTGCTAAAAGTTATCTACTCATTCAGATAAGCCATATTATCCATATGCGTTATGTATCATGTTTATCATGTCTGTATGCGTTAAATATACTATGATATCATGACAGTTTGCATGAATTCTCTCCTCATACATCAAAACCCATTATTAAATGCAAATTCCCCGATGAATATCTTTATATGTAATACATAATGCTTGACATTGATTTAAAATGTACCTTGTAATCAACATCTCCATTGTCGTGTACATCAAACACTGCAGATCCAGCACTTGCTAATGCACTCTGTCTTCCATAAAGAGACTCTCCAGTCGAAAGCACAGCTTGGTAGGCTAACCACAATAAAAGTGGAGAGGAAAAAGAGACAGAGCGTATGTTAGAAAAGCTATTTTCAAGTAGAAAATTTCAGTTTAGATAAACTACAAAGTAAAAATGAAAACGTTAACATAAACGCGCATCCATAAAGTTTTGTAAAACAATTAAATAAAATGGAATTGAAAGAATTGAAAGAATAGCTTACTTTTAAAAACTTATAACTACTGTTGACGTCAAATGACATGTATGGCTAGGAAACCTTCCCTAACACAATCAAAATACAAATAATTAAAAGGTAAATTCATCAGTCGAGGGATACAGTGTAGGTGATTATCTAGATTTGACACTATGTGACTCGTTAACTATACTCATTTATCTATGATCTAATCTTAAGACTTTCCCTTCAGTTTGAAAACAAAACCGAAAAAATAACAACATATCAACATCATCCAAACTCCAATTCCATAAATCATGGGGGAACATGAAAAAAGGTACAATGAGAATAAAACCAAGTGTTCCGGAAGAGTAAGCGTCTTCTGCTTTATCGACGACTACCGCCATGTAAATCTTGGTAAGTAATGTCACGTTCTCAAATGACAACAAGGTATACAACAACTGAACCACAAGTTATGCTAAGGAGCAGCAAACACGTTCAGTTTTAATTCAATAAAAATAGAATCTCTTTTGGCAATCTACTGCAGAATGATGTATAACTGTAAATGTGATATAATACATATGAACAGGGTTACTTAAGGTACAGGGTAATTACATCTATGTTCTGCAAATTCCATTTCCTTTTAGCAAAGTATAATTGTCTTTACAATGCTTTGTTTTACACTTTAATACATATTTTTGTCTCTTTCGCCCTTTTTGTCTCTTGACAAACTATTATATCAATATATTGTAAGTATAAATTGACAGAACATCGTCATCTCTTAACGCGATATCATTTTAACATACATACTAAAGGTACTGGTTGTAAGAATATGAATATGTTATTAAGTATGTGTAAAAGCAATAAAGAAAATAAAGTCTACATATCTCAAACAGATAGTTTGAAATACTACATCATCATAATTACTCATTCATCAAATTGTCAAGGTAGATCTCAAAACAAAAAAAATCAAATTTACGCTAATACTGGAGTATATACATGAAACAGAAACACGTTGTTCAAAGAAATTCTTAGAATTCGGTATGTGCTGCAATACTGTGCATCAACGTAGTCTATTATAATCTGTGAATGTTTTGCACATCAGAAGAGAAGATTTATGCATAAAATAATATCGAAATGCCAGTTTTGATTAAGATATTTTCTTTCTGCGTTGATATAAAATTCAATATATATGCAACATGGTAACATCCAATTTGTAGTAAAATCTTAACGATCATCAGACTCTCACGTCAGTTGATGTATGAGGGCAAGTGTAATCGAATTACATTTATTATCCTGTAGAGTATATGCATCTACCATTCCTAGTTAATCAACATCACTTAAAATAAACAAAAATATTTCATTGAGCTCTGTATTAACGATTTGTCGATATCCCCCCCCCAAACCATTACGTATTATATCGTAGAAAAAGTTTTGCACTTGCAAACATACCTGATAAGCCTTTGACCTATATATAGTATGTTTATGAAACTTGTTAATCTCCTCAAGATTATGTACTTTTTTGCGAATGCATCTTTTAAAATAATGATTTTTGAACGATCATCTTGAAGTTGTTTCTTCATAGCGGATACTGTTCTCAAATTAACCTATATCAGTCACAGAATGTATTGTTTGTTTTCTCCAATTGCGATTTTTTTTTCTCATTTGCAATACAACTGTTTTATATATAACTATCAAACTGACAAACCAGGTTTAATTGATAACCCTCATATCGAAAGATTAACTTTGTGAAAATCTGCCCCTTGAAATAATATATTTCATATCATCTGATGCAACCGTGACCTCCAAAAAGGAACGGTTCCCCACGAGATTTCACTCATGACGTTATTTTCAATGTTTCTAAATACTAGTGTGAATCAATTTATCTTCGTCTGATTTACAGATTAATTCTCCTTAGTGATATGCAATCATTTGGCGACACTATGTTTTGTATGTGAACACGTATAGCAATAGCGTTGCATTTTTGAGGTAAAGTAAATTGTATAAAGGGTATAAAACTTTTTTAAAAATCCAAAAGTCACACGTTTAGTATACAAAAAATGGAGAAATCAGCATAAAAAAGAGAAAAAAATCATAAGGGTGATTAGAAAGTTTGGATGCATATCAAACAGTTTGTTCGTTATAAAATATTATCACTAATGCCCAAATTTACTTATACTAATGCTTAAATCTCCTATTACGAGCATGGCAGTTTTAACTGTCTAGAATAAGATAATTGGATAAATCGCTTCTAACTGAGTTAACGCTTAAAATGCACATAAAATGCACTCGCTAACCAGTGGGAATATTGCCGGTATGGTGTGTAACAAGGCTGCTGATACTGTAGAGCTTAGACCCCCCACGCTCCACAACACATACTCTGTGCTATACTCACAACCGCAAGTAAACATAGGCTTTATGTATCCTATGATACTTGTGCCTCCTTTCGACGTTAGTCGTAGACGCAGCCTTCCCCGTACTAGAAGTTTTCGATTTTTCCTATTTGAACTTTTCCAAAATCCTCGCAATTTATTCTGAAAATATATGCATAGGAACATAATATGATATATAGTGTAAAGAAAAAAATGTAGAAGGATATAATTTGTTTCAAGAACTTCGGCATGAAATGGTAATAAAAATACCGATAGGAACTTTTCCGAAATAGATATCCAACCGTTTAACATGTATTTTGATATATAGGCAATTAACTTCGGCTGATTCTTCAATGTGATATTTATTGGTTGAAGTGCTTTCTGAGACATTCCATTCATTTCGATCAAAGTGCAAATAAGTTATAAAACTTCAGTATATTTAGGCTACAAAAGGTCAACCGATTTCAGATTTTTTTGTTTGAAATAGTAAAGACTCAATTTAGCAGCAACGCAATCTAAAACCTGAACCAGCTGTTTCGCTATACATCATTTGCAGTTCAGTCTCAGATTACTAATACTTGTTGTGTGAATACATTTTCGATTCCATGCCTTTAAGAAAGTGATCGGAAACTACACGATGGAGGAATTCTATAATTTGATATTTCTGAATTCTTTAACTTCACCGAGAACTAATATATACCTATGTCATCATGAGATATGAACGAGAATAGCGTAGTTAAATACTAATATAGAACAGATATGATAGGGCAAAATACTGAAATGCAACATATAGCTGCTGTGTCCTTCTGAAAGTCGTCATGGATGGTAAAGGTCTCAATGATAAACATAGAAGGCAATAAGAGAAAATAAAAAACGATAGAAAAAAATGTCAAAATATAGATGGGGAGGTGAACTTGCCCCATCACTCAGTAAATTTCGTAAATTTTTTATGACAACTTTATAAGAGCAAGTACATGTGTACATACTGAACTATGTCATCATTCGAAAAAGTTAAAACGTGGGATGTAGCCGAAGCAATTCACTATTTATCAAGGTTCGCTTTATTATATATATGCAAGGCCTGGTGTTTTAATTACTTGATGGATGCTACATTACCTTTCGGCGTGATCTTCTTGTCTTTTGATACAAAATCTTTGTTCTTTTTTCAATGGTTATGAAGTATTCTTGTCGTTTACCTGAACAATATGCAACAATGTATATTTTGTTGGTGACAATATGATATACACAGATGGTATTTTGTGCTTAAAAGAGTTGTTAACAATGCATACTTATATTTCAATCTATAATACATAATCTGTATTCACATGTACAAACTAAGGGTAAAAATGAACGGTAATTGAATGAAGGAAGACAGAAAACAACATCTTGTTTGAACGTTAAAGGAAAACATCAAATTCACAAAAACAAAAAACATCAAAAATATCATGCAGAATAAAATATACATAAATTTTTATGACATATGAGGAATGAGGACAAATATCATCATCAGTTTTGCTTGAGCCTGTCGCTGGAATCACGAGAATCAGGGAAACCGTAGGAAAACGACATTAACAATGACACTTTGCACATCTAGAATAATAAACAAAATCTGACAATGAATATAAATGTTGAGAGCAATATGTTATGTTCATTGTAAATATTCATATATTCTAAACAAGTACATTTAACATTTCTTACGTTTGCTATTAAAGAGTCCATCGTGGATTAGGATATAGGATATTCGTTTTTTCTTAAGCCCATACGTCAGCGCTGCGTACCCGCCGGAACCGTCTAGCTTCGGAGACACCAACAATGCACCGAATGTTTCTGTGCAAAAACATATTGTACATCCTTTAAAACTATTATTTAACAAGATTGATGAAGACATTTTGGTAACAAGAAAAACTTTTGAATGTTACTTCCGATGATACTGATTATCTACATAAATATTAATTATCGTCAGGGCGCCAAAGAAAATAATGATAATAATAAGCATCGTATCGTTATCCAACAATCATGAATATACAATGTGTGGAAGGCAATGACTGCAACGGAAAGCAACAATAGGATCCATCACAACTCACATTCTTGATTGATTTAAAGATAATATCAAGATTCGATATAAAATTATTTTTGGTCCAAAAGAATAATTTCTAGTTATAACTGATGTATGCATTACCTGGATTTTGTCGTGTATCTACTTCCGGTCGGCCGCTTACTTCCCCTTCCGGATATGAAAATGTTGTTATAGTGATGATAATCTCCTTTTTGTGTAAATATCGCAGATAATACAGGGGAATTGTTGTCCATTCTCCACAGAACTGATGAAAGAAATGAAAAAAAAAATCTGCAATTTTTTTACGTTTGAAAATAATTTCGCCCTGCCTTAAAGTAATTTTAGGAGCATATACTTATTTATCCGTGGGTTTTTCATTGCCATATATATTGTTATTTCTAGATAAAGTTTTAATTTCTAAATTATGCCAACATGTCATCTTAGTTCAATGACCTACTTCTTCTACAAAGTAGCTATCATCAAATATCACGAGTATTAAACGCATCTATTCATATCCGTTTAAAAACCCATTAGCTTAATTTTGAATCACTGAAAAATTCAAAATTATTTAAAAGTAGATCAAAAAATCTATATATACATATCTTGGAATTACCTGCATCACACAATTTTTAATGCTGATTTGTGTTAATGGGCCACTAGGCCTATATCATCAATGAATAAATGCTAAGTATTACACTTTACTGCCATGTATCGTTCCACGTGGTGGCACGATCAAATACATTGCATTTTATTACCACTAGCCCTACGTGTGTAATAAAATTATAAATAAGACTTTCGTTCAATGTTAGAACATTTCAATAAAAAAATAAAAATGAATTAGATACAGAATATTAAACTAGCTTGTCTAACAGAGACATAGATTTGTTGATTGAAGTATGTAAGGTCTGTGTAATTGAATGGCATATTTCACAAGTTTATATTTTGGATGCCGTTATGATATATATTTATCTAAATCAAGCAAATATACTATGCAATTATGTATATTGATAAAGGTTAAATATAAATTTGAAACTGATATATATCTAATTGTTAAATATGAATTTGAAACTGATATATAAAATGGTTAAATATGAATTTGAAACTGATATATAAAATGGTTAAATATGAATTTGAAACTGATATATAAAAAAGTCAAATATGAATTTGAAACTGATATATATCTAATTGTTAAAATATGAATTTGAAACTTTAACAGTATAACCATTGTCATGAGTCTCTTAGAGCGAAACCTTCTGCATGACCTTGTTTTATTTAAAACTACAAAGAAAGTGAGCTCAAGCTAAAGTAGCAGTTAAAGTTATCAAGTCAAAAAAGCAATTATTGAAATTCAAACAGGCGCTTTCACAGCATTTCAGAGGACGTTCAAACAAGCGTTCAAGGAACCTTGTAGTTATTAAGTCAATCGAGTAGCCACCAAGATTCCCTCGTTCGTAAAATACCTTGTTATCTTCTGTTGGGGCTTCCAGACGCTTTTGTATCAGGATGTTTCCGTTTCTGTCTATCATTTGAATGGATTTAGGACGATTTAATCTGTGAAAACAACAAAACACATAAATTTGCAAAACTGGAAACCACTAATTTGTCAGGAACGGAGTAAAATGTACTATAAGGAAAACTCGTAGACAGCAATGTAATTCATTTAAATTAATAGTTTAATCAATTTTGTTAACAGAACCAGAAACATTTTGAGGCGGGGTCTAATTGACGTAACTTATGGAAACCTTAGTGAACAGTTTTCACGAGGTCCGTCGCACGTCATTCACTACAATTATCCTAAGGACCCAACCAAGTCAGCACAAACCCTTGCCTCTGTTTCCTGAGAAACGCAAACCGCCACGGGTAGAGAGATTCGAACCATGAACCTTGAATGTTCATCCTGGATTACGAAGGCCAACTTTCCCACCGACAGAGTTATCGAGAACTTGATTCAAATTAAGTGGGATACGTTTTGTAACATATATTGTGCGTACATCAGACACGTTTATTGTATTCATAGTAAAACAAGAACGTATATGTAATGGGGACTATTACATATGTCCCAAAACGCCTAGCAGTCGTTATGATGAAACCTCGTCGGCGGAAGAAAGTGGAAGAAATCATAATAGGGGAAAGAAACGGAACGAAAATAATATGTCCCCCTCCCCACATCATTTGGACGTTGGTTCAGTAAAATAAGTATAATGTAACTTACAAAAAGATGATGATACCATAATTTTATAAACAAATCATAACATGGACTATATATACTGCAAAGGTGTTTATTTTTTGCGGGGCTTAAATTTCGATATTTTACTGGCTGGGGCTTTTCATGGGTAGTAAATTTCGCGCAAAGCATTCTTGGGCAGGAAACAGCACAGCATGTCTATAGAATTTGATTTGCAGTAGAAATATTTGCTATGTACTACATGACCGCGAAATTACACATCCCTCTGATATTTCGAGCTATACAGTAACAGAGTGTGACTTTGAGCAAATAAATATGTGAAACCCAAATAGTTGATGTGATGAGGACGATAGTGAAAATAATTATTTGTTAACTGAAACTAATATGCCATTTCGACGAGGTCAGAAAGCATCCAGATTACCTGAGAAATGAACATAAAACACTTTAATTCTGCCAGGAACCATACTTATGTTGCATGTTTAATTTTTGTTGTTACGTTTTATCGTAGTAAGCGGGACCGGATCAAGAATGTTAATATCATATGTTAAATTTTACTACATAGGTTTTAAGTAAATGTTATACATTAAAGCCAATTACAATATCCCTGATAACTGGTTTGTTACAGGAATGAAGAAATGTTCTGAATGAAATATCTGTGTCTTGTAAAGTGTATTAAATTGCATGTACGGGTCATGCTCGTACATTCTCGTATATTTACACGTGATAGCTCTAATGCACGAACGGCTGCCACGAATGACGTTAAGATTCCACCTTTACTATCCGAGGAGATGATATTTTTACGGCTCAATGTATACCCTTCCGTGAAGCTTGATACATTCTAACGGGGCCTGTCATGATAAGATAATACGTTTTCCTTTATCCGATCTTATAGAGTTTACTTTTCGGCAAACAATGCTGAGAGCATCATCGCCATTCGACATCAATGGATTCCGGAGTTGATCTTACTAATGTAAGGAAGAACCATGCATTTATGAGAGTTTTATCACATGTTTAAGTACTAGACAAAAATGCATGGACATATTCTCCCTCTTACCATTCAGAGGGTTTTCTTCCGAATGACTTCAGTTCGCTACACACAATTTAACGTACAAGAAACGCTACCTGCAGTCCAAAATAATTACCTATGGTTCAAATTCCTAAATACCCCTTATAGACGTTGTCACGTACTAGGATCCTTTAAATAGGGATACAACCAGCGCGTGAAGATAAGATAGAGTCTTCCCTATGTACGGTTCACAACCCTTAGGTCATCTCAGATTCATGTTAACAGGAAAAAACGGTCAGCCATACATTCCACATCCAACCTTAGGATCGTTGATTCTGCTGACTACTTGGCCCGACATGTTTTGTTGTGTATGCAGTATTCATACCTTATACGTGAAAAGCTATATTTGGCCACGTTCCGTACACATTTTCAATCATACTTTTTTTTAGAATTGATGTAACGTTTTCAAAACATTGAAAAACTATTATTGCTATACAAAGACTGAACAAGATTATGTATTTAGAATTAGATACAGAAGAGACAACTAGTAAATTTAACTGCATCATACAGCTGTTCCGTCCTTGTAGGACTGTAATGATACGAGCATAAATATTGAAACGTTTGAGGCGCCAAACCTATTTCATAGCCTAATAGGAATACACCTACTACACTAATATCCTTAGTAAATGATTTTCATGAAGGTTGTTACAACATCAGTCATATCCTGGCAGATTTACTTTGATGAAGTGTAGTAGCAATAAGAATAATTAATCATCATTTATGTATCTTTGGATAAATCAATCGACTGCAATACGTTCTATTGCTTTAAACTCAAAAGTGTTTCGTTTCTAAATAAAACTCTGCACAAAACACTATAAACTTAATATTTGGTCACAAGGATATCGGATGTAACTGAAATACTGTATAACTGGTGGTTTTCAAGAGTCAAAATTTTTGCGATTTTCTGTTAAAAGTACCGAGTTATATTTAAACAAATTAAAATGTCGCCATCTGGACGTATAAGGACATCGGATATACACCCCTTGTTTTAAAGATTAAATTTTCCGGATTTCGTAAATATAAAATCATTGCCGCGGAAATAACTGTCTACACGGTATGCGTTTCGGTTATCATACTGAGATAATGGTATATATTAAATCTGACCAGTTTTTTTTTTATTTAGTTGGACAAACAACACAGATCAAATAGTAAGAGAAGCAAATGTCATGACTGCGTCTGTTTCATAAGAAAGCGTGGATCTTTGAAGTACGCGTAACATGTAGAGCGATAATTTGCTAACCTACCGTGAAAATAGGATAAATTTAAAACGCAGGTTTAAATAATGATTATGTTTATATATAAACAATATGTACTTCATTTCAGTTCCCGACATCCCGTATGCTTGCCTTATTGCACTGTAAAAATAGTAGTATACTCATTTTTAACCCTAGCACACGTCGTCAACGTTAGTCTTCTATGATTGGTATCTATTTCAAATATTTTTGGAATATGTTTTCAAAACATTTGTTTTCATTCTTTTGTACAGATACAACAACAATAAAACACCAACATGTCAACATAATCATATTCAATAAAACTAGGGCAAAATATGATAAAAAAAATTTACATAGAGACTCCTGAAAAAAGTCACAAAATGATTAAGACTAGGTTTTCCGGAAGTGTAGGCATCTTCGACTTCATCGCCAACGACAAGCGCAAAAGAGATTTTGATCAATTTTGGTTTTTTTTTCATAAATTTTTATTCTTCTGGTCCATTTTATTTCGTGCCTAAAGAGAAATACTTAACAGTCACCATAACATACAAACATTATACGTGATATTCTGGAAAATAATGTATTTTCACGGAGATTAAATTTCGCGGTCTGTCAAACTATTTGGTAGGCATCTCATTTCGTTGATAAAGGTAATTTCCACTTAATACACTAGTACTAGATATTCGTGTCGATATTTCATTCTTTTATTTCATTTCGTGGATATCTGTTCATGGGATTAGCAGCAGCTATATCATTGAAGATACACCCTAGGACAAATGAGAATTTACCAGTTTACATAATCATTCTTCAATCTATTTGTAAAATACATGAGAGCAGATCTGGTATGTTTAAAAAATAATCATCATGTGCCAATACTTACATTTTTTTTTTAAATAATCGCATTTACATATTCTTATTTACTAGTTGTTTACTCTTACCATATTACGGAACTCAGTTTCTTAACACCAAAACATAAAAAAAAAATCCTTACGAGTGTTTTAGTCTTAGTAAGGATGATCAATATCTGTAGATATTTCGGGCCTGGGCAGATCGGGAGATTCAATCCCCCTTAAAAACTGAATCAGTAAAATGGCATGATGATTCACAGACGATTCTAACAGTTCATCCGTCGTGTTTAATTTTGTTATCGAACGCCGCACCATCTGGGTATTGTCTATGAATCAGTGTTGTTTAATTCATTGAACAGAGCGGTATGTCCTGTTTGAGTGATGTACCAACACATCGTTGTATTGAATATGGATATATATATTTATTGATGTATGTAACAGCTATGTCTCTCACGCATGAGGGGTATTCCAAAACAACTTGATGTTGTAAAAGATATCACTGTATTAATATCATAAACACAGCGTCTCTTTTAGACTTGGGGTAATGATGTTCACATACCTATTACTTGTGATAGTCATTACAAAGCTGTTTTTCACATATTTTTTTCGTATTTTTCACGGAATTATGATATTCAATACGTCTCATAGACGTGACTTCCTGTTTTAAGGGGATTTCCCTCATTTTATGAACAAGCAAAGCGAAATCTTGTATGCCATTTATTTTTACCGCACCACGCAAATAAATGTATTATTCACGATGATTTTATTTTTTTTAAATACCATTAAGATATGAAGGAAATGACTAAATATTTTTGATAACCCAGTCTCTGGGGGTCGCGGTTCTAGAAATAGAAACATTTGTCTTTTTGTAACATTGAGAAATACAGGAATGACCAGCCAATATCAGATTATCACTACAACACCAGGTCTCTTTATGACATCTTTACCAACAGCAGCGTCATTCAGATAGAACACACAATACCGTTTCACAAATGTTGTAGGATATATTGTGAAACTTGCTGTTCCGAAAGTCGATTTTTTTGTGGTATCACCAGAATGTTTTTCTTTATTAACTTAATTTTCAACGTGATTTTCCGTGGTTCGACCCCATCCTAAGAAAATAAACCTCGTCAATTATATACAACAACGCTGAAAGTAACAAAACTAGGGTCTAGCATAAAAGCATTGTGTTTTCAATTCTGTGAACTGCGTCTTTTATTTCCAAACATATTTCTGAAAAGTAAATTACAAAGCCAGTGCCTTATAGAATTTCCGAACTCACGCTCAGGGCAATACAGAACCACCTGTGGGTGCAACAGGCTGTGATTAATGTGAGGTAAACTCATTAAGACTGCGTCACTTGAGACACCCCCATTAGTCAACGTCTAATTAAAACGCTTGGCCTCTGTACAAGTGTTCAAAGCGTAAGCGTCAGGTTTTGTACTTTAATATCTCTCTTCAGAGACTCACGCAAAAACTATCTGGAAATTTCAAATTGCTCGACGTCATAAGAAGACCTTGAAATTATCGATATTTTACCAAAATCCTTATCCAAATTGAAGATTTACCGAAACTAGGGCAAAATATCAACAAGTTAAGGCTGTGCGCAGAGACCTTTTAACCAAAGGTGTAAAAGTACATTTAGACATGACGTCCCGGAAGGTCATACGCCTTTTGCTTTATCGAAAACACCTGCCATGTAATTATTTGGTCATTCAAACAAATGTAATGTTTTCCAACGAGAGATCGCCCGACATCAAACCTCATATCTCACAAGGCAAAAGAATATTTCATGATGTTGATATGTATTAAATTTTAAACTTATTTCTAACCTTTAATAAAACTTCCCACATTTTCATTTCGTTTATTTGATTCGTATTTTTAAAAAAAAGAGTAACCTCCCTTGTTAAGGTCATGCAGAACGATACAGATAAGATCCGACAGGGTAGAAGATAATACAAATTATAAAACTTTATCGATCAATTACCTTTCATGTCGCATTGTATACTGGATACCTCCCGAATTGGTCACCTTCAACTTGACAACAGCAACTGCCCGAGTATAGACCGGAATTCGGCCAGGAACATTTCTACCCACCAGTAACGCTATGTAATCTGCCAATAAAATGGCAATGCTAATCACGCAATACCAAAGTATTTTACTGTGATATGATCAAACAATGGTAAATTTCAAAACTTCAGTTATGTTGAACAAAAGTGATTACTTCATGATTTCATTCTGCTTAACTGAATCATAAAATTTATTTCTGTTATAAGCGCTATCGTAATTATATCTTTAAGTTAAGATACATAAGTGTACTATATATCTATATGTATATATCAACAAAAACAACGAGAAATTATAAATACAATTTTTTACCATGTAAAACCCCAACGGGAACGGCCTAAATCGAGAATTTCTAGTTTTAACTATATCTTGCACTTCAGCATCCCTTTAGAACTCTCCAAGAAGAAAATTACTGTACTTGATTGAATACTATGTCTATGCACAAAAGCATAACAGTTCACAGTTCAGACAAATGTTATATATGTTAGTTTTTAACTATTGCTTGGGCATGTTCTTACTCACTTTTTGATTTGTATTTATCTATAGTCTTCCCGTCTCCTGTAAGCGCCGCATCCACTTCCGCTTCCAGATCAACCGGAAGCAGGGAATATCTGTCTTCAAACGTCACAGCTGCAATTAAACCAAGAAAGAAATAACGCTTAAAGCACTTGAAAGCATTTTTGTCTATTGATTTGGATAATCTACAATATAGCATATGTTGCCAACCAAACGATCCAAGACGGACTTCTTTACTTTCATCAGCACACCAATAGAACTACAAATATACTACTCCTGATTCCACTGAATATCGACTTCTGGTATCATTCTCCAAACATTGCTTTCCTGTTTTGAAATCTTTTGACCAAATGATTGATTTGACGGCTTGCTTATTTACTTATCGGTATGGCAATTAGGGACAACATAATAGGTTCATCTCGTACCCCTCACATGCATTTTGTAACATACTAAGCATTGTGGTTTATTATTGTATTTCGATAAAGAGAGCACGGGTTTATATAATTCACTTGATCATAAGTCACCGCTTATTTCTTTGGTGCAAACAATCAGTTTGACAAAATCTTATAAAAATTCGATTGAAATTGATATTTTGATTAATATATTATTATTTTGGTCTATTTTTTTGCGTCTCCATGTAAATTTTTCTTTTGTTCTTATTTTGCCATCAATTCATCGAGTTTGAGTTAAGATTCTGTTACATTGTTTTCTTAATAATAGTGGTGAATATTGCGAATAAACAAGGTGTTTCTGCAAAGTTCGGCGCTTATAATAATGAAAGTCATACATGAACAGGTTGATAGGACAACACATGCAGTTGATATCGACGTGACTCAAAAGAACTGCGCTCAATAATTAGCTCTGATGTATCTAATTCTACATCTGCATCATAAAGTGCTATTCATTTGTGTGTTTTTGTAAAAATCTTTCAAATTGGACAGCCATTGCTGGTGGACTTTTAGTCCCCGAGATTTGCCGTAACCAGCATAGCACTTTTTACTTCGTTCAAATATTGTCACGGTTCAGAATATACACTATGTACTTGACTACTTTTATATTATCAGACAAATGGAATTTATGAAATTTATTTCATTGTTGGCCTCTACATTTTGATTTATCTAAACCTTATTCCACAATAGATAATATATATGTAACGCCAGATAGGTATATTTACTGAATAACAAGGCCATTATATAACTTATATACTAAATAATTCATACTCTGTAGAATATGGAATAATCACAATCAACAGCCAAAAGAGACGAAAATGTTGCTATAACAATATAAAAAATTGTACATCGATTTAGAAAACAAAACAACCCACGAAACGTGTGGTGAATTGTTGTCAGAAACAAAAACACCCACGAAACGTGTGGTGATGTGTTGCCAGAAAACAAAACAACCCACGAAACGTGTGGTTAATTGTTGTCAGAAAACAAAAACACCCACGAAACGTGTGGTGAATTGTTGTCAGAAAACAAAACAACCCACGAAACGTGTGGTGAATTGTTGTCAGAAAACAAAAACACCCACGAAACGTGTGGTTAATTGTTGTCAGAAAACAAAAACACCCACGAAACGTGTGGTGAATTGTTGTCAGAAAACAAAACAACCCACGAAACGTGTGGTTAATTGTTGTCAGAAAACAAAAACACCCACGAAACTTGTGGTGAATTGTTGTCAGAAAACAAAACAACCCACGAAACGTGTGGTGATGTGTTGTCAGAATATAAAGCCAATATGGGTTTGGGTTGTTCTTATCACACACAATCGTGATTAGTAAGTCGGATGTCGAAATGATAACCAGTCCTCACCTTTTCACCTCGGGCCCACAAAGCGTTCGGTGGACGTGAACCACGAAGGTGAAGGGTGAAATACTAGATGTAACCAAATAATTCCCCTGATGGTAAGTATTGGTATGGACTTGTCAACACAAACTGCCAAAACAGTGTGTGTTGAGACTAGAAAGAAGAAACGTTTACATAACGTCTGTTGTGCTATCTATTTTGTTTACAGTAATTGTAAACTGATCACCGTAATTAGCACTAATTAGTAACAGCAAGCCTAACATGTGATGACATATTGAAGACGGTGGAAACACTTGCCAAGAACAAAAACAATGGGATAGCACGTTCGTTACCATAGCAAAACTGATACAGTAGATCATCTGCAGTACAACATATTTAGACCCCGTACCTTTGTCAATGTCGTCAACTTTATGTACGTTATCAATTAACTTGCAGTGACTTGCTTTCTTTTTAAGAACATAAACACATGATCACAGATTTATTCATTCAAACATATCGTCAATGGTTTTATTTATGCTTCTGTTTGATTTTCGCTGGTTCAATTGCTCGTTATCTTAAAAGTTGATATCTGTTTTTCGCAATATCATTCCATTCCATATCTGGTTGAATGTGAGGAAACGTCCTTTGGTTCACCAAAATTAAGATGGCGATGTCGCTGACGAAGACGACGACGATTAAACTTTTCTTTTCTTCTGTTTGCAATCGTTTCAACGATATTGATTTCGAAATAAATTTTGTGAAAATACGCGTATTTGCTTTTTTAGTAATGGTTAATTTTTCAGATTTCTACATCATAGATTTGAACTAAAAATAAATTTGTTGAAATTTTAAGTCATTCATGTTAAAATTAGCATATATCGTCATGTTTGTTTGTAACGGTCCTATCAATACTACTAAATAGTGTTAACACTGAAGCATGTCACTGTATTGAACGTACTAGGGATATTCAATATAGAGCATGCAAGCAATGTCGAACCATCCATTATGTACAATGAAATAAAATCATATACGAATATTTGAACAAGCGATTGGGTTAAATTGAGCGTTTAACTTAAGAGAAATGAACTTGTTCACCTGTTTGAGAAAGAAATGATCAAAAATTGATGTTTTCAGTTTAATACAGTTTTCGTAGACATGCTCTTTAAATACATGTACAGCAGTGTTGTAGTGTCGTTTAGAGTGAGTGATATGGCCTCCAAGCGGGGACATATCCAAACAGAGCAGAAAAGGGCGGAACTACATTATGAAAATTCCACATGCTCACGATATTAATGTTCCAATTAACTATCCTAAATTGGGACATTAACACGTGCTTTATAATCTGTATAACGTTTATTATTATTTTTTACAATTGTCGAAATTTTTTCTTTATTCTCCATATGGTTACATTGCGAATATTTTATTGGCATATGTTTCATTGTAATTGAAAAAAGACCTTTTATTGAACATATTTGATTCCCGCTTACTGTGTTCTCATTTGGGAACGTGACACTTATTTGGATCGACCATGATTTACAAAGCTTGTGACGCCAATTAGCAGAAGACGCTTACTCTTCCAGAACATCTGGTATTATTCGCGCTTAACTTTTGTTCAGAGTCTCCCTTTAAATCTTTCTTTTGTTAATGTTTTACCCACGTTTTTATTGTAAATGTTTGTGGTAATGATTCTGCTGATACATTTTCCTCGAGGTTTAAATGTCGAAAGAAGGTCAGCAATAAAATGAGATATTCAGTATTTAATCGGAAAGAGGAAATTTCTATACTTCGAGATGAAGGTAAGATATGGAATATTCTTATTTACAAATATACAAAGCAAGGATCAAAACATAAGATATCTAAGATATTAACTATGTAGACTTTTGTTAGTGGCGCCAATTCAAGTGTAATATCACATTTGTTGTAGAATTAAATGTTTAAATGACATAGAATTTCCAAATTACAATAAGTAGGAAAAATTAAAATATAAGATGATTTTCAGATTATGCCAATACATTATTCCCTAAAAATTCGAAAACAATCCACGATTTACTGTATTTAACAGTTAGCAAATTTATGTTATAAGAAAAAATCAGGCTTTTTCACGATATGTTTATTTTTAGATTTGAAGGTTATAGATTGTGCTTCATTGCATTTCCACCTGGCAGGAGCTCCTGCTTTATGCCTCGTTCTCATTTGTTTTGAGAAAACGACATTATTTAATCAAACTGTCCGAGGTCTCGTCAATGAAGCAGAGCACGCTAACTCTCCCGGAACACATGGTCTTATTATCCGGGTTAATCTTCGTTTTGTTTAAATTTTACACTAGTTTTATTGAAGTTGAGTTTGGATTATGATTATGATGTCATGTTAGTATTGTCTTTTTGTTTCATGTACAGGTGATAATCTTTAAGGATAAACATTTTCGCGGTTTTCTTTTAAAATGATCAAACTGTATTTTAAAGTATTAAAATTTCATGATTTGAACCTTTATCTAATACACACAGGCCTCTTAATCTCATTGATTAAATGTTCATCTTGATGTTAATGACCACGCAAAAGCGAAAATATCATCTCCGCGGAAATGACAGGCTACTGTATGTATGTTGGACTGGACATACCGCTCAAATATTTCTTATGAAGTTCATTCTGCATTTGCTACTTATCAATATAGTAATTTGGTATTTTCAAAAAGATTATACCAGCTACCAAATAAATAAAAAATGATATTTTCTGTTAGAAACGGTATACCGTCATTTGTGTTAATGCACTTAGCCCGACATTCTGCTTTTGAAATATAATTTTACTTCTTCTAAAAAAATAAAAAAATTTCTGTATTCTTAATACCGGAGACCTTTTAGACCTATCTAGAGTACTTTTGAATATAATAAAGGATTGGAAATTAATATGTCACCATTTGTTTTTAAGAATTAGAATGGAACTCTTTTTTCGAACGCTTTCAACTGTATTAAATATGGTTGGTATATTATATTTTATTAGTTACAAATCCATTTTGAAAAAAACTACATGATTTGTTTAATTCATGTAAATCAAGTTGCACATATTTTAATATAACCCATTATGGATTTATGCTACCTTTAAAGATTTTCGAACATCTGCGTTTCCATAGACTGTAAAGAAGGTTCCATACATCTGTGTTTTAACATCTTCAAATATTTTCATGTGCAGTGTTTGAGAAATTTATTCTGCTCTTGACCCCGGTCAAATATCTACTTGACCACAAAAGCTAGTATATTTTGAGTCATATAGGTAAATGTATCTATTACTCTCGTAACAAATAAACCAAATGTTAAGTGTTTACTCAGAAAC